CACAAAGCAGCGACTCTTCCCATCTCCCGCCTTGAAGGAGTTAACAATTTATCCCTTTTCTGTGCATCTGAAGTAAACCAAATCTAAATCTGAAAAGCATTTGGGTTCGAGTGAGATTAGATTTTGGTATTTGTTTGTCTAGGTACCTTCTACAGAGGAGGCAGAGCTGCCGCAGGGCCGGCACGCCCTCTGGCCAAGCATGTTGTTGAAGGTGTTAGGCTGGCACAGTGCACACTGGTCCGACGACACCGCCCTGACAATGTTCCCGTACTGGCCGACAGGGCAGGCCGTGGGCTCCCCTGAGCCGGCCGGACAGTAGTAGCCGATGGGGCATGGGTAGTCCTCTGGGTTGCCGGTGCCTGTTTTACAAGTGTATGAACAGAAATGATGTGTTTGGTTTGGACTCCAGCTGTAGGCATTAATGGTGGGTCCAAATTAACAGGCTGCGGCTGAGGGTAACACAGGGGTCTATGGCAAATGGTTGCAGCCGCTAACAAGAGGATTACATTGTCATGCAGTTATAGCTAGTCCTAGCCAATTGATTTGGACTTGGCATGTTCATAAATGACACTATCAAACACACTGCTTGGCATACTATTTTCACAGTATAAACTCAAACGTGCTTACATCATCATTCTGCACACACACGGTATTAAAGTGACCTTGGTTTACCATTCAAGAACATGCCAAGTAGACACCTTTAGCCTACTAGCGAGAATTTTGACATCATCCAAAGACAAGGTGCACAATAACTCCTGCTGGTTTTGAAATTTAGCCTTAAATTCTGATGTTACACAGTACATGGGGCCTTTGCATCCCTGAAAATTGCTCTTCAATAAAATTCATTTTTGTGGAGAAAAAAAATATAAGATACGGCCTCCGAGTTAAATTTATAGAACAAAACTTAATTTGGGGGGGGCATGTGGCCAAGTGGTTAGGGTTTGTGGCTTCCAATCATAGGGTTGGTGGTTCAAATCCAGCTGCTGACAGTATGTTGTGGCCCTTAGCAAGCCTCTTCACCCCTGCTTGCCTCCCTCCACCCAGGAGTATAAATGGGTACCAGCATTAGCTGTGGAAGCAACCTGCGATGGACTGGCATCTCATCCAGGGGGGAATAGAAATATTCTCAGTCGTTTCATGCCAAGGAAATACACCGGCAGGATGAGCCAAATTGGCTCGGACCAGACTTGCTTAGCAACTTGATTTCACAGCTACACGCAGTGTGAGAGAACCTGCTACATGTACGTGACTGACCAACAACGTTAAATGGAAAAAACTTTGATTTGAACAGACTTTGATAGCAACTTCCTGGTACATCGTGCAGTCCATTTGAAGGTTGCACGATATTACTTTGTCTGGATCTATTCACATTGATCAAGTTGCTTTTTTCTCTGGTGAGTTCTCTTCTTTTCGTAGCGTGCTTGACACTTTTATTTAGTAGTTCTTTTCTGAGTACCGCTGTCAATAATGATTTCATATCCTACATTTGCGAAGGAACAGTTTGATTGAATGAGATGACGCTGGGAAAACACTGATCTGAATCTCAAATGAACTGAGAGGATGAAGAAATCTACAGCAGAATTCAAGGTTCCTGCACCTAAAGGACAATTAAATTCCAGGACTTTTCCATGACTTTCCCTGACCAAATTTTGAAAATCCATGACCCAGTAACGCAATTTCTAGGAAAATTTGGCCTTTTTAAGTTGCGAATACAATCACACATTTTATGCACTTATTTCTGAGAACAGAAATCACACACAGTATTTGAAAAAATCCATGACTTTTTCATGACTTTAGTCACTTTTACCAAATTCCATGACTTTTCCAGGCCTGGAAAACGAAAACAAATTTCCATGACTTTTCCAGGCCATGGGAACCCTGAGCAGTGCGAGTTTGTTTGGCACATCAGCCAACTGAAGGGGTAGCACCTTCTGCTATGTCTCACCTTCAGGGCAGTAGTAACCCTCGATACACTCTGCGCACCAGAACCTCTCGGTGTGGTTGCCAAAGGTCCCCGCGGGGCACAGGCTACAGCTCTCCTCCGCACTTGATCTCAGGCCGGCGTGGTTGACCGCCCGGCTGCCCAGTGGGCACTCCAGGGGTACCTCGCTGCCCTCGGGGCAGTACTGCGGGTAGAAGCAGCGGGTGAAGGCGGCCGAGCCCAGGGGGCAGTAGTAGCCGCCGGGGCAGGCAGGGGGCACGCCAGTCACACCCTCGCAGTAGTGGCCAGGCCTGCAGGTGACCTCAGTGGAAGCCCCTGTTAGAAAATACGCAGGGACAAGGTTGTTACTCAATTCCTTATATTCCTTCATGTCCCCCAGGGACAAGGTTGTTACTCATTCCTAATATTCCTTCATGTCCCCCAGGGACAAGGTTGTTACTCAATTCCTAATATTCCTTCATGTCCCCCAGGGACAAGGTTGTTACTCAATTCCTAATATTCCTTCATGTCCCCCAGGGACAAGGTTGTTACTCAATGCCTTATATTCCTTCATGTCCCCAAGGGACAAGGTTGTTACTCAACTCCTAATATTCCTTCATGTCCCCAGGGACAAGGTTGTTACTCAAGTCCTTATATTCCTTCATGTCCCCAGGGACAAGGTTGTTACTCAATTCCTTATATTCCCTCATGTCCCCAGGGACAAGGTTGTTACTCAATTCCTTATATTCCGTCATGTCCCCAAGGGACAAGGTTGTTACTCAATTCCTTATATTCCTTCATGTCCCCAGGGACAAGGTTGTTACTCAATTCCTTATATTCCTTCATGTCCCCCAGGGACAAGGTTGTTACTCAATTCCTAATATTCCTTCATGTCCCCAGGGACAAGGTTGTTACTCAATTCCTTATATTCCTTCATGTCCCCAGGGACAAGGTTGTTACTCAATTCCTAATATTCCTTCATGTCCCCAAGGGACAAGGTTGTTACTCAATTCCTAATATTCCTTCATGTCCCCAGGGACAAGGTTGTTACTCAAGTCCTTATATTCCTTCATGTCCCCAGGGACAAGGTTGTTACTCAATTCCTTATATTCCCTCATGTCCCCAGGGACAAGGTTGTTACTCAATTCCTTATATTCCTTCATGTCCCCAAGGGACAAGGTTGTTACTCAATTCCTTATATTCCTTCATGTCCCCCAGGGACAAGGTTGTTACTCAATTCCTTATATTCCTTCATGTCCCCCAGGGGCACTTTGTTCTCCTCCCCCCCATGGACTGACCACAGCTCCTAACCAAACCCCCCCCCCAAAAGTGCATACCTTCAGGGCATTCATAGGTTGCACGGCAGGGGATGCCGTGCACATTGACCGTGTCATTGGGGCAGTAGTAACCAGCTGTGCACAGCGGGCAGTCCTCGTTGCTGACCCGGCCTGTCTCTGTGCTCATCCGACCTCCGGAGCAGGGCTGGGGCTCCGTGGTACCCTCCTCACAGTAGTGGCCCTCGTAGCAGGGCAAGTAAGTGGTATTTGTCATTCCTATCGCCATCAACAAAATGGAAATATGGATGGAACTTAGGTTCACTTTCCATTCTGCAGACAAGAGCTTCGGTTTAATACACAAGAAATCCTTTCTTTACATTTTTTTTCAATTTGGCAATGTGATTGCTTAAATATCCTAAACTTTGAAATCCTCACTCGAAAGATTGATGACATTCAATAAACATCTTGAATTGCTTTGTTTGCTATTAATGTCATGGTTGTTGCAGCCACATTCTGATAAACGGCAACTTATCCGGTCAGTGCTCAGGAGTTTTGGGAGTGGTAAAATGAGTTCTGCCCTAAAATCTTGGGCCAGGTATTGAGGACGGGGAAGGCAGTTCATTTACAAAGAAAAGAACCCAAGAGGCACATTCACTACACACTTTTTCTTCTGAGGGCTATAATTTACTATTTTTTATTAACTTGATTACTATGCAGTAGTCAAGACCATTAAATGCTTACAAAGTCTTCCTTGCCCAATATTAAATAACCCTCTAGCACAAGGCTGATGAAGTCTCTTAAAGCTTCCTGGGAAAGCCCACTTCAGTGGGGAGTCTCAGGCTGATGCCGTGGTACTGTACTTATCTTATCTTCCATCTCAGTGACCCAGGTTTGTATTACGTCCCAGCAGATACGCAGGTTGGGTTCTCAGTCCCTACCTGATTCGGTGGGTTTTTCCCGGAGTATCTATCTGGGGTTTTCCTCCCACCTCCAAAACTGAACACTATCCTCATCTTACTTGTAATTTGAAGTTACATGTACATAGCCTCGCAATTTCTTAAAGTTGCTAGCGATGGCCCACTGAAAATAATACTCTAATGAAGTTGACAAGGCTATCGTCAGTAAATAAAATATGTTGTCATAGGTAGTGTTCGGCGTGGGAGTAATTCGTAAGCATCTTACAAAGAGCAAGAATACAAAATGTCACAACCGCTGACTTTCTGTTAGAATTGGACTAAAGAAAGAGAGAGAGAACAAAAATGAACCAAAACTCAAAGTCCCAAATTGCTTTGTATCGTCTACCTACCTAGTTCGTTGCAGAAGTACCCAGCCCTGCACTTGAAGCATTCTTCACGACTCTCGGCTCCGACTATGTCCCGATAGTGGTACAAGGGGCACTCCACAGGGCCGACACCCTCCTCGCAATAGTGTCCCAAGGGGCAGGGGTACAACATGGGGTCACCTTTGGGGAGGGGAGGGATTATATAATGATTAGTTCAGAGTCCAAATATAAAACACGAATATGCCCGACCAGATTTTCAAAGAAACCAAAACAAGCCAGGACAATATTTCTTTTGTTACCAGGTGGGGAATGCCTCTTGCAGAAACCTTAATCTCTTTCCTGTAAAGATTTTTTGTTTATTGATTTTGTTTTAACAGGGGCAACAAAATGACAAAGGAATACTTTGAAAGGAAACATGCTACCTGGACTCTTCCCAGGTGGGGGACCAATCGGGTTGGAGACGGGCATTTTTCTGATGGGAGATGGGAGCGGGGGAAGGCTACTCAACTCACCCTCCAAGCAGTGTTTGCCAGCCGGGCACGGCGCACAGTCTTCCTCCCGGCTGCCAAACTCGTCCGGCCGCCAGGTATTGTTCCGACAGGGGATGGGGTCCTCGATGCCGGCCGGACAGTAGTGGCCCGGTGGGCAGGGCCCAGCGCAGGTTGTGTTGGGCGGGCACTGGGCCTGGTCGAAGTTCTCCACATCTGGCAGGTCGCCGTCCGGGGTAAAATCGTGGCTGGCGCTCAGGCAGAAGTAGCCCTCGGAGCAGTTGCCCTGAAGCTGGCCACCGCTGTGGTGCAAAACGACAACCAGCCACGCCAAGAGAAAGGAAAATGTCAGTGGACCGCTTCACTGCATGCAAGCATTTCTTCATAAAGTAGATAAACCTTAGTCTGAGCGACCATCTCCAAGGTAAGAGTCGTAGGTGTTACCGTTAGACGGGTACTTCTCAGTGACAAAATTATACCTTAAAACGGCAACTGCAGATAAGGTACAAGGTTTGTGCACCTTTTTTGGCTATTTGGCCTCTTTAATTGGCTGCAGCTGAAACATGCACTCTTATGGTGGCCACTAGCTGGCAGCTCAAGCCATATTCCATAGGTTTGTGCGGTACTGCCAGTCGTAACTGGATATGGGTCTTGAGCTGGACCAAGAGAGGGCGCTATTTCCTTACCAACTGAGGCTCCTGTGGTACCAACAACGCATAGCTGGTTCACGAATGACAAGGAAATGCAAGCATCACGGTCACATTGCGACCAACAAAGTGAACACTCTCGACCAACACAGCTCTTTTCAAGTGATGAGGGGATGCTCGAGGCAGATAACAAAGGCTCGCTCAGAGAATATGACTGACAAATGTTCTTTAGAACCTGAACCAAATTTTCATGAATCCAATATGATGTGGCAAATTTGTGGCCATCAATGTCTAAAATAGACTGTAAAAGTTTCCCACCATAACTCTCTCTCGGCAAGTTCTACGGCCGCTGTTCAAACAATCTGACACTACACCTGAACACTTTACCAGGCAATATCTGTTCCCATCTCTGTGACACCATGAACTCGAAGTTAGTAACTGCTGACAACGGAAAGTCTACCTTTCTAACATTCTGACTAATTAAAATGCCATCGTGAAGTAAAAGATCTCTGTTTCTGATATAAAGAAAGACCTTTTGTTGACCAACTGTCCAGATTTGTAGTTTCAGTATCTGGTCACTCACCGGCAGTACATTCCGGCCAGGCATGGTAGGCACTCGTACTTCTCCTTGAGACCTTCGTCCGTGTCATACGTGAAGGTGCCGTTGGGACATGGAATGGGGTATCTTGTCGCTGTGCAGAGATGGAATAAAGAAAAAGAGTTGTTGCTGTCTAGAAATGTGGGCAGTAATGTCTTTCTTCACACTTTCTTCACAAACACTGCTGTTTGTGGATTCACAGACAGCCACTTACAGAATCTGATGATAAGGCTTACCGGCTGGGCAGTAGTGGTACGGCGGGCAGGGCTTGGGGTCCGGGAACAGGGCGCTCTCGCAGTAGAAGCCCGCCTGACAGTCGATGCACGAGTCCCTCCGCATGTTGGGCTGGTACGTGCCCACAGGGCATGGGCTGGGCACAGCTGAGCCATTCAGGCAGTAATGGCCGATGGGGCACTCAAACTCAGCCGGGGTCGGGTAGACGGTGGAGTGGTTTGCGGGGCAGTAGAAGCCAGCATTACAGGGGCCTGTGGGGTCTGTCTGGCCATCATCCTCACAGTAGTAACCCCCAGGGCAGGGGGAACAGTCCTCGACGGAGGAACCACCTAGGTAAGTTACAGGCACAAGAATTCAGTGTAAGAAATGCTTTAATCGAGTCCATTTGTTTCCTGTGTGAACGAGATCACGTTTTTACATAGCAGCATTGACCAATTGTTGGGGACGTGCTGTACATGGCTGAGCAGGTTTACGCAAGCTTGGCACGAAATACACCGAGCACATGAATGTATTTTAATATGGGTACCCTGGGCACCCAGTTAAAGTAATCCACACCACAAGGTTCCCCCCATGCACTTTGCTGATGAGAAGGGTACTTCTACTGATGACTGACATCACACAGTTTCTGTGCTTTTCTTGTGATTGAAATGAGTCAGTGAAAAATTCATCTCTCGTTTTGAAAGGCGACAAAGGCAAAGTGTGGCCAAATTGGTAGGAGTTTGGGCTCATAATCTGGCAGTCAGGGGATCAGGGTTTGGTGATGGTCTCGCGCGGTCTTGTGAAGGTCTTAAGCGGCCTCGACAACACCAGTGCTCGACAACCACGCTGGAACCAAGCCTCACCTTCGACTCTACGGACAGTGCCGACAGGGCACGGCGTTGGGGATGGCGTACCCTGCTCGCAGTAGTAACCCGCCGGACAGAGACCATTCTCCTCATAACCAGGAGTTGACACCGGGATCTCGGTCAGAGCTTTACCTTGACAGTAATAGCCGGCACTGCACGGACCTGGATGACGAACAATCCAAAGTGCATAACAGTCAACCTTGGATAATTTCAAGTTGTTTTTTTTTTCCCCAGAGCTATCTTGTGAAGTTTAGCACAGTTTTGTTCGAGACAGCATTTTCTAAACTCAGAACGAGCCAATCTCATCCGTGTCGTTTTCAGTCGGGGCCATTTGAATCTGGCAAGGGCTTTTGTTCGGCAAGCGTGCAAGGGTACACAAGCAGGGAACAGCTTCCCCACAAGAGGTCGTCTAGGGTCCCGAGTGTGTTCCCTTGGAAGCTGTCAAATCTGATGGCTTTGCCGCAGCCAGCAATGACGTGTGCACCCACAGAGGCCACTGGCCAACGGCTGCCACAATGTCTCATGGATGCAGGGGTCATTCTCGACTGAGGCTGGTTGATTTGGACAATGAAGTCTCAGGCCCCCATATCCCAAAGATCAAATATCATGTGATGCACGGACTGCTTCCAATCAGGTTCTACTGGATTTTGTTGCTCAGTAGGACCGCATGATTTGTGCTACTTTCGTGACATGCTGCTCTGTCAAATTCCGGCTCAGATGGAGTGCCTGTGAGTACACGATTCCAGCATTACAGATCGTCAACCTTCTCCAAAAGTACAACAAGTATAGCTCACCTGACGGGTAGCTGTTTCCTGGCCCTTCGCAGTACTTGCCGGGGCTGCAGTCCGTGCAGTCTTCCTCTCTCACCAGTCCAGTTTGGTTGTTGAAGGTTCCTGGCGGGCATGGGATGGGCAACTCTTCGCCTTCCATGCAGTAGTGACCTGTGGAGGAAACGCAGCCAGCCAAGTGTTGCTTTAACTGCATCTTCAAACTACATAAGACACCACAAAGGTCTTCTATTTGTAGGAATCAGACATGGAGGAAACTTGCCATAAAGATGTCTTTAAAAGGTGTCAAGGGGACATTTTTAGCTATCCAACAAATGAGCAACCAAACTACTGTAAACAGAACCTGCAAAACGACTATTTGAGTTTTTCTTAGTAATGGGATTTTAGTTTGGATTTGAAAGATCAACCCAGCCCTTCATTTTGATGACGTATCACTCAGAGTGGCATCCTAATAAAAATGAAGAATACTCAGGTGAAAATTATTGAAAGTTCCTGGTGATTTGCAGTGTGCAAGAATCTTTTGAAGGTCTTTGGAGTCAAAAACGGCTCTGGTGACACGTTTTGTGGGGCTGGGTTTCAAATTGTCAACAACCGTTGTCTCCTTTGCCCATCCGCTTCAAAGACTGCTCTGAGAGAAGGACAAGATGCCCTAGTGACAAGCAAGCTGCGCGCAGCGAGCAGACCTTGTCACTCCATCCATCTCCCCCCTTCATACCTGTCTTGCAAGGGGAAGGCCCGGTCATGTTCACCATGTCGCACATCTTGCCGTCGGGGCACAGGGTGCAGTTGGCCTTGCCCCGCTCGCTCTGGTACGTGCCGACGGGGCAGCCTATCTCGCTCAGGGTACCCTCGGGGCAGTAGTGGCCTGCCGGGCAGGGGTAGCCCATGCCAGAGCCTTCCTCTGGGGTGGGGGTATCGCTGCCCCCGGTGCAGACATAGCTGAAATTAAAAAAAAAGACAAAAAAATATTACTTACGACAGAAATGAGGGGAAATAAATGAGGGAAGAGGACTTGATGGGAGGAGATTGCAAGTTATTACAGTATGAATGCGAACAAAAATACAGTGAAAAAAGTCTGAATCACACGGTGAAAAAAAGACAAAGGTACACGGCAGGAGTGAGTTGAACTGCTAACCTATAAGAAGCAAGCAAGCAAGAAGCAAGTCTAGCCAATCCCAAACAAAGGCACTGTACTTGCAAGAAATCTCTATTTCCACAGGGATTTATAAAGCTTCGGCGCTTTCACACAAGTCAAGGAAGCAAAGTCGACAACAGTGGACTCCCAACCATACCAAACCTCAAGAGTACGTGCATGCAATGTACAAACAGGCCTATATGCATATTCAAATTGTAGGCAATGAACGACGTACAAAGGGTTTGCAATGGACTATAGGTGTCACATCAAAGTACAAACGGTTCAAGGTACCGGACCCATTTTGCTATAAATCCCTTCCACCCTGATCGGTATGAAGCCAGATGCAGCCTGGTTTTATAAAGTGTGACGCCCTGATTGGCTAAAACTGGTGACTGAGGGTTTGAACAATAGGCAGCATACGAAACAGGATTGGGAAAATTTAGTATGTTCAGCCAGAGTGTGACACAGAGATCCAGTGGGGTTAATCTGGGCCTGCTCAGTTCAATCTAAAGTCCCAGTCCCTCTTGAGATACTTGGCAAGCTCAACCCCGACAGTCAGGGAAGGGATTCTAATATGGTGACAGGCCTTCCTGACGATCGTGTACAAACCAAGTGACAGGGCTTCCAGAAAAGTTAAAGTCTGCATGCAAGTGGAATGGACAATGCAACTAGGTAGTTCACAATTTCAGGCATTCAGAAAGATGCATGAATGTGCTGGAGGGTTTTGTTATTTTTTTCACATTATGTACAAAATGAAGAGTATTTTAAAAACAGAAGATTAGAAATTGTCCACCCCTGAGCCTGGGGCAGTGAAGCAGAAGTCTACGCATGCGGCTCGTTTCTCCCACTCACCCAGGTGCGCAGTTGGGCGCCGTGTCCACCTTGACGAAGGCCTGGAGGTTGCACCAGCGGCCCCGGGGACAGTCCTCGCAGCCGTCCACTGAGGTGACCCGGGTGTTGACCGAGAAGGTGCCCGGCGGGCAGGGCTCCGGGTAGGCCGTGCCGTTGGGGCAGTAGTAGCCGGTGGGGCAGACGTCGTTACCGGTGAAGGTGGTGTTGTTGCCCGGATCCACCTAAGAAACGTCGCAAAGAAACATAAGTTGAGCAGAATGAAAATTCTGACATTGGTGTATTTCCCTTAGTCTTCCTACACAGAGGAGAAAATATTTGCAACTTTCCAGACAACATTCACACCGTATCAACAGCCAAATTGGCTTTACACAGCAGAGGGTTTCTTGTTGAAGGAAAGTATTAAACTTCAAACCGGAGGGCTCATGTATCAACATTCTCCCTCTTTAAAACAAGGCACATAATTAGTCAAATCAATGTTCATATTTGTATCCTGTTCCACATACTGCATATTTCCCTCCAGAGGTATCTGTATATTTCCCTATTAAGCTCTATATTCCTCTCCAATGCATAACTATTTCCCTCCAGTACTAAAGTACCCGTACACATCAAGTTTGCTCCACACACTCATTCCCCTCCTCACTTCATGCCTATATTTGGCTTCCCTCCAATCCTTGTACCGTCATCAAGAGTAGCCAGTGTTATTTCTCATCAGAAATCTACTCTTGGACTCATCAGAAATCTACTCTTGGACTCATCAGAAATCTACTCTTGGACTCATCAGATATCTACTCATGGACTCATCAGAAATCTACACTTGGACACATCAGAAATCTACTCTTGGACTCATCAGAAATCTACTCGTGGACTTATCAGAAATCTACTCTTGGACTCATCAAGAGTAGCCAGTGTTATTTCTCATCAGAAATCTACTCTTGAACTCATCAGAAATCTACTCTTGGACTCATCAGAAATCTACTCTTGGACTTTCAGAACCAGACTCAACCCCTCACCATGTCGTCATAGGGCGTGGGGCTAGACGCTCCCCCAGTGCAGTAGTAGCCAGCGTAGCACTCCTCCGTGGGTTCCCGCAATGCTGGCGTCCCACAGTAGAAGCCCTCGGGGCACTGCACACAGTCTGTCACTTCGTCGTAGTTGATGGTCTCGCCGAACGTCCCCGGTGGGCAGGGATGGGTGGCACCCTCCCTGGTGCCAGGTGGGCAGAAGTAGCCCTGGGGACAGTTGGCCGGTGTGACCACGGGCCCCACTAGAAAGAGAGGGGCAGACGGTTTTTGCAAATTACAAGTCTAAGGATGCCAGACTGTGGCCAAATTTCATGGAAGCCCTCAGCATACTTATAAACTGAACACAGATGGGTTTGACAGCACAAACATGTTACTGGTTAGGGGTAATGAAAGCACACCCCTGGTTGCACAAGAAAATTGAATGAAGGTATTCAAGTCGGCTTGTTCTTTACCACTGCACCTAAGCTCAGGCTGAGTTTGTTTCACAGAGATCTGGATCACGATCAGCGATCAGTCCTTGATTTACAGACACCAAAACTCGCCTAATGGATGNCTCTTGGACTTATCAGAAATCTACTCGTGGACTCATCAGAAATCTACTCTTGGACTCATCAGATATCTACTCATGGACTCATCAGAAATCTACACTTGGACACATCAGAAATCTACTCTTGGACTCATCAGAAATCTACTCGTGGACTTATCAGAAATCTACTCTTGGACTCATCAGGAATCTACTCTTGGACTCATCAAGAGTAGCCAGTGTTATTTCTCATCAGAAATCTACTCTTGGACTCATCAGAAATCTACTCTTGGACTTTCAGAACCAGACTCAACCCCTCACCATGTCGTCATAGGGCGTGGGGCTAGACGCTCCCCCAGTGCAGTAGTAGCCAGCGTAGCACCCCTCCGTGGGTTCCCGCAAGGCCGGCGTCCCACAGTAGAAGCCCTCGGGGCACTGCACACAGTCTGTCACTTCGTCGTAGTTGATGGTCTCGCCGAACGTCCCCGGTGGGCAGGGATGGGTGGCACCCTCCCTGGTGCCAGGTGGGCAGAAGTAGCCCTGGGGACAGTTGGCCGGGGTGACCACGGGCCCCACTGGAAAGAGAGGGGCAGATGGATCGCAAATTACAAGTCTAAGGATGCCAGACTGTGGCCAAATTTCATGGAAGCCCTCAGCATACTTATAAACTGAACACAGATGGGTTTGACAGCACAAACATGTTCCTGGTTAGGGGCAATGAAAGCACACCCCTGGCTGCACAAGAAAATTGAATGAAGGTATTCAAGTCGGCTAGTTCTTTACCACTGCACCTAAGCTCAGGCTGAGTTTGTTTCACAGAGATCTGGATCACGATCAGCGATCAGTCCTTGATTTACAGACACCAAAACTGGCCTAATGGATG